GGCCGTTGCCCGGTGAAGCCCCACGGGAGCACCGGAGCAGCCAGGCGGCGCACGGGCGGCCTTCCCCCGGGTGCCGAGTGCTCATGGAGCCGCTCCGCTTCGAGGGCTTTAAGCTGTTCAAAAAATTAAAAGTTTCTCTGAGCGAACAAACTTTTACAGAATTGCCTGTAGCAAGCATTCAAAAAAAAAAAAAAAACCAAAAAAAACCCACACCACCACCAAAAAAAACCCAGAAAGGTTTTTCGAACAATTGTTTGTTCAGAGATGAGGAAGATATGTAATAGCTCCACCTGCTGACACTTACCCTCAGCAGTAATAATGCTGCCTGCCCTAGCAGCAGAAAATGGAAGCTGTGGTAGGAGAGGCGTTTGGGTTATTTGTTGTAACATTTTTATTGATGGAAGCAAACGGATATGTAAATGTGTTTCAGTGAAATTTATAGGAGCTTTGAAAAAGAATGAACACGCTATGTCTTGTAAACGTGACATTGTAGGCAGAATTAGCTATTTTTCCCAGGGGTTTCTAGTAACCATTAAAATAGAGACTAACCAATTCTCCCCAGCATTTTCACAGGCATTTTTAAAAAAAAGTCTAAATGTGCCTGACAATTCATATTAACTTTCTCAAGAACAGTATTTGACAAAACTTTCCAAAATTCAGATAACTTGGTGGCCGGTTTTTTTTAGCATAGTTACTTCTTCTAAGACTTCCACAGAGGAGATGATTGTGTACTTTACATGTGATGGCTGGTCCACAGAGGCTAAAAGCAGCATTAATAACTAAGTGAAGGCACATAAATGTTAGAAATCAAAAACTGCATTCCTAGTTCCGGCTCCCGAAGAATTGATGTAATTTATTCTCGGAAAATGTCTGTTGTCTGCAATACATGGATGTGTTGTGTCTGAATTGTATGTGTCATTAGTTGGATTCTTTGCTTCCTCTCACATCAAGAGATTTTGAGATACTTGTTTATTTCACGAGCACCCAATTATCTCCATTTTCTTCCCTTTTTCCTTCACACACATACAAAAGATGCAGGAACAACAAAACAAAGATTCTGGTCTTCTGTTTAAGTTAGTGATATTCAAAGGGGGAGGCTTAGACTGTGCCACACTGGGATCCAAACATCACACACTGACTCTGGATGTTTTTATGCATTGGTAAAGTGAAAATCGGTGAAGTGAAAAAAGTCCCCAAGTCAGTATCTTGACTGGCAAAATCATACAGCTTTGATCTCTTACTATCACAACTGCAAACACTGTTATTTTAGTCCTGAGTAACTTTGATTTGTACTAAAAAGAGAGATGAGTTCTGCACATTTGCCTTCCATGACCTGTCATAGAACTCAGCTTCAATGCAAAAATCAGAACTGCCCTATGTAATCGAGTATTTTAATCATGTTATTATCAAGGAACGAAATATATTTTATGCCTGTTAACTGAGGATAAGAATAAAGATGGGTTTTAGTCAGCTCTAAGTGTGGCTCTTTACATCCTATTTTCCCCTCCAAGAAAGCTTATGTCTTCAATAATTTTATGTGTATGTAACCCCTCTTGTTTTCTAGAGAGAAGAGCTCTTACTATAGTGTCCCATTTAACATGAACACAGGCAAAAGAACAGAATGTATTATTTTTATAGTCAAGTCTTCTAGCAATTGCTGAACCCCACAACAATTGTCTGCCTTAGTGAACTGAGCTGGTGGGCTGGGAGACAGAGGGAATGTCCCTGCTCATGCCAGAAGACATTGCTTATCTTAAAGGGACAACTTTCTCCAGCCATCACCTGGACTGCTGGTTCATTCCCCAAATCCCCCCTGCCTGCCTTCAGTTACTTACTAAATTGCTGTTTCTTCAACAGGAAGCCCAAGAAAACACTGTTCACTCTGAATATCGGATTGTTCATATTTAGAGTATTTATTGTGGCAAAACAATTCACAGGCTTCCTTTAAAAGACTTTTTTCCATGTTTAGGAACAAATGGGCTCTATGTGAAGAAATGGAAAACTATCTTGTTTTGGAAAGAACACTGAATAAGGGCACATGCAAAGTTCAAAGAGTCTTTTAAATAGTCTTCTCTCAAAAGGTATCATTAGTTTTGTTCAGCTTCTCTAGTTTGTAAGCAACTATGTAATCAATGAAAATATATTTAGCCTACCTTTAAAAAGAGATGTCTCCAGTATTAATTGGTAATAATAGTAAAATCATATGCAAGACAAAAATATTAGGATCTAGCATGCTTGTCCTTTAACAAGTTCTATTCCAAAATTATATTACATATATTAATTTCAACTTTGTAAATGTTGCATAATCTCAAATCTTTGCGTAGTCAGACAGTGGTAAAAAAGGATTAAGAAACCGGACAACTTTTCTGTACTGTGAATGCTATTCATTTCAAACATTACTTGCTAGTAAAGTGCTGTTACAAGCAAAATGAAATCGTTAGTGTCTATCGAAAGCAGATGACATTTTAGTAATATTCAAATTGTATTTGGTTTGGCAAATAGTTAAAAGCTAAGACATGTTTGTTTAACCACCCAAAACTGATTCAGTATAAATAATATTGGTTTCCAATAATCCTATGCTAAAAGGCACATACTAATGTTCCAGCAGTTCGTTCAAGTGAGCTTTTGCATGTAGAGGTTTAATTGTGCTTTTAAATAGTTACTGATTCAGTATGACCTTGAAAGTGACATTTGTGCATGTCTAAAATACCTTCTCACAAATGAATCTCACACTCTGAAGGTGTAATTTCATTAAGATTAAGATTATATATATCTATATAACTATGCTTGTTGATCTCTATAGATCTACATAGATATACACATATACATATATTCATACATACACACACAAAAGGGCATCTTCTGGAACAGCAGCAGAAAGTGCAGTCTGTACTTTTTAAAATTGTCTTCATAACAGAAAGTTCTGGGTACAGTTTTCAGATATGAATTGTCTTGGGATTTGCGAGATCCAAGGGATTATTTGTGATATTGCATATGCCCCACGTTACTCTCTTTCCTTACAGGCTGCTTCAAGTTCACTTCACTTCCAGAAGAGATGATTGGCAAATTATTTTCCATGTGATACTGAATAAGATGACCCACACTATCAAATATATGGTCTTTGGTTCTCACCTAATGAAAGAAGCAAAGCATATATTTATGGTTAGATTGTGCTTATAACTGGTTGGACATGAGCCTAGCGCATTAAAGCATTTAAGCCACTGAACTCACTAGATCAGGATCATTAGGCTGTAGACAGCAATTCAGACCTGTCCTTTGACCTACCGCTAGCTGACATGAAAAGCAGAGGACCAAGTTAAAGACACTATGTAGAACTGGGCTGATTCTGCTAAGGGGAATGAAAGAACCATTTTTTTTCCTCCACAGAAGAGCGATATTTTTCCCTAAATCCCACTGAAGATTACTTTTCTGATTTACTCTCTCCTCGGAGATGTTACTCAAGCGTGCTCTTCTAGCACTGAGCATAAACAAGTAGAACTGAAGTGACAACAAACCAGCTCTACCTATTCTGTATCCAGAAGTGTGTTAATAATCAAATTCATTATTTAATGTTAGGGTTATTTTTCTAGCAATATAATAATGATTCAAAGGATGTATCAAGTGTATACACTAATTATCAGCACCTGGACTGACAACAAAATTTAAGTACCTCACTTCTATTTCCGTGGTACTTCAGTGCTTATAAGTTCTTGAACTGAACTTTCAAACCTACTGATGGCACTGACTAAGTTTAAATTAACTTCGATGGAATCAGGTCAGTTCCACTTCCTGGAATGCACCCATGCATTTTGACTGAAATATCTGAGCAGCCCTGAAATTTCTCTATATGAAATGTTCATACCTTGCCCTCAGGATCCACCAAGAGCAGATGCTTTGCTTGCCCTCCCTGAAGTCCACTGAGGACATACTGACCAGGTGACGTTGTGCTCTCTCGCACCAGAAAATCCCCATCGTTGACTAAGAGGCTTTCTGCTGCTTTTCTGTTTAATTTGCCATGGTAACAATCTTCATTCTTTAGCTGTTGCTTTATTTGTGGCAGAACACAGAGACCAGCTGTGTTGCTTGTGGCACTCTGCTGAACAGCTTCTGGTAACTCTAAAATTAAACGAAAGGGAATGTATCGGACACTTCACCTAGAACTTCATCCTAAAAGGATGCAAGACTATTTTTTATAGCTTTTAAAACATTCAAATGGTTCAGTGCTGAAGCTGTGATCAAACCAACCTGATGAACTGTAATAATATACACACATGAATGCTCACAACCCTCCAGTGCATTAGGTAAAATTATCACACCATCTCCTCCCATACCTTAGATGGGAAAACCTTGGGTCGCTAGGCAACAGAGATTGGAAACAGGAATTTTTCTGATACTGTTTGGGGTTTGTATTTCTTTGGTTGTACTAAAAAGTCAAATCTTCCCTGTAAAAACAAGATTTTTGTTCATTTTTAGCCACTTTTTTTTTTTTTTTTAATCTAGTTTTTCCTTCTTCCTTAACAAGCTCTGAAGAGATTGTCACAGATCATTGGGAGAGTCATGTTGAGTGGCTCCAACTATGTGCAGGAATGTAAGACAACATGGCCAACATAGCCAGAAGGGAAGGATTACAGCATAATGCATCTGCTGTGAAAAAACGAACAATTACTGAATGTACTAACAAAACTGGGTGGTTTGGGATATAGCCAGTCAGACTGCAAATGATTCACAGGCAGGATTTTTCTGAGGAAAATAAGAGGATACCACTTCTTCAATGGAATTGTGCAACCTAAGGCTCCTCAGGATATAGCCAATTCCTTTTAAAGCATAACACAGCCCCAGGCTGGAAATGTCTCAATGGTCACAGATTTCTTTTAGTGTAGTTTTGTCCAGTCCTTTGCCCACTTTCTCGTGTGGAGCCAACTCTGACAGAGAAAACACTCAGTGGGAAACCATAAGAGGCAAAGCTAACAAATAAATTCTTTTCAATAATGAGGACAATCAGTAGCAACTATATAGTCATCTAATGCATATCCACCACTCTGAGTCTGTAAATCAAGACTTAATTTGACATACATTTAATGGATACTGCTGATCAAACAGTTTGATTTAGAAATTATTGGATGAGATTCAATGGTCACTTATGCAAGAATTGAGAAAAGCTGGTCATAATGATCCCACTGTGACCTTGCATGCTACTGCCTGTGAAGCAAAGGCATCTCAGGCCACTTCCACCTTAGAGTGGTTAAGATCTTGAGCATACAGGAGAACCCTCTTCCTGGAGGTATGGTGCAGTCCCAAGCTTTCATATCATCTTAAAGACTTGCTTATTATCACCTGTGGAACACTATTTATTGTAATCAATCAGCTACAAACTATGAAAGGTTACTCTGCTTGCTTACCATCACTACTTTTACTCTTTAATCCCCTTTGTCTTGAATTTACCAAGCAAAAAAAGCAACCAGGAAGGATTTCTCCCCCTGCCCCCCCTGTCTTTTCTGTATTTCTTATGGGAAAACCCATGCATGCAGATGACAAGACCCCCTCTTTTCAAAGCTTAGAAAGATATGGTATTGCAACAGGAACCTACTGGCCTGACGCAGTGGGCTCCCATGGATCTGTGCTGTTGCTGTACCGCGGGCTGTACAGACTGCAGACTGCAGGGTCTGTGTGTTGATGTAACACGGATCATCAAAAAGATCTGTTTTGTAGGCAGGCTTCAATAATGTTGCGTCTTTTTTTGTCTTCTGTGATCTTTCACCGCAATTGCCTGAAATTAGTATATAGTATGCACGGATTTCCTTTTTTTTTTTTTTAAACTCAAGTTAAAATAACTGTAAAAGCTGAAATAGGAACACTGTTGTTCTTATATACCCCATTAAAGTCATTCAGAAGGAAAAGAAAAGTTGGCGGGTGAACTGGTTTTTCCTTATGGCTAGAAGGCACAAGGTACACTGTCCAAAATGAGTTAGAATGAAGTTTTCAAAAATGTTCCACCCTGGTTCAGTTCTGCTTCAATCAATGTCAGCAGTAAACCCCCCACTGATTGAAAAGAAATTAATACATATGACTTTACAGAGACACAAGCCATATACATTGTTTGTTGCAAAACCCTTTCCTTCCCCTCTGCACCACAAAAAAAGCTTGCGGGAAGCTGAACAATTCTCTCTTGCTATTCCGGTGGAGCAGGGAAGATGGAGGAGGTTGGCACTTTGTGGCTCTGCCTGGAGAGCCAAAGCCACATCTGTCAGGTTAGGATCCAAGCCTAGGAACAGGCTAACAGAATATCCCCTGCAGGGTATGAAAATAATAGCACTTCAGCTAGCCAAATAGCATGCATATTTTTGCTCTTTAGCAAACGTTTTATTCATAGATCTATTCATTCATTCTTTTATTTGTTCACCCTCTCGTTGTAGAAACCATTTCTTTCTCCTTTCCTTAAATCAGAAATAACACAAGAAACTGAACTATCCCCTGCAGACAGAGTAATGAATTGCTTTAGAGCAGTGCAGGTGGGAATTCAAAAAGGAGTTCATTGTGCAGTGAAAGAGATGAGCTGAGGAAATGTGCTCAGGGCATCAGCTGTGGCAAGGGAAGTCCAGAAAGGGATGGAGGCTGGTGATCTCCTGGGGTCCCAGAGAGCAGGTTTTGCTAACAGCAAATTGATCTGGGGCACAAAGCCACCAAAGGCAGGGGAAGGGCACAGTCACACTGAGAAGCCAGTGATGCTGGAGCCAAGGGCGCAGGCTCCATTGGAACAACCACCCAGTGCTGATCGTTTGGGTCTCATCAAGCATTTGTAGAGGGAAGGGGCATTTTCAGAGGCTGATAAACAACAAAGTATCTTCCTTTTTCAAAGGGTATGAAAGGGAATAAAACAACAAAGAGTATGAAAGAGAATAGAACAACAAAGAGCTACTGTACAGTATCATGACAAGTGAAATGAGTAAGTCTGCCAGCAGACATGAAGATAGATTAGTGGCCTTTAGAAAAGCTGTAGGGCTTTTTTTGTCTGCCCTTCATCTAGGCAACTAGAAATGACCCACTAAGGAGAACACTTTTCACCATTGTATCGAAAGCCAAGAGGCAGCTCTTCCAGGCAGTCTGCCTTGGTTGGTTCTGCATATGCATGAGAAGGAAAACAGCGTACATACCCACAGTTTTGTTTTCTTCTGGGCAGTTTTCATATATATTGATGAATGTCGGGCTGCCTGTCTGTAGAAAAATTGTAAAAACAGTCACATAAAGTAGCCCCTTAGAAACCTCAGGTAACTTTAAAACATCCATGTACCAGTTAATTGGGATACAGGTAACTAAACGTATCTTCACCAAAAACCTCCTATCTCATCAAATAATATTTCATGCTGCTACTCTTCTTTCTACAGGCCATCATGCCTGGACATACTCCAACCTCACAGAGACTGTTAACTGCCCAGTTACGTATCTAAGGTTTAGTATATACAGTATAACTCCTAAGTAATAAAGTTCAGATTTTCTTGTAAATATTCCTTGCAATAAAACCAAGGAGAAATATCCACAGACATCATGGTTTGGAAGTGAAATGGTCACCAAGTTGTCTGAGCAGCACTAGAAGGTCATCAGCACTGAAAGGAAAACCAGAAAGTAACACCCCATGGAAAAAAAAGCATTTGCATTTATGTGCTGCAGGGTAACTCCTTGCAGCAACTCTGGCAAGCTTCGAATGCACACTCAGGATACAGCCAAACACCTTTTTAGAGAACTGTTGGGGAGGTGGAGACCACCAGGCCCACAGCCAAGGTGTGGAGTATGGCTGAGGCTAACAAAGCAAAAAATGGATGGAGCAGTAGCACAGGAACACACAGGAATCTGGGAGCAGTTGCCACCAGACAAATAACACTTGGGAGCAGCAACTTTTTAAACAGCGCTACCTGGATTCCAGCGGGCACGTCTGAGCGCGCTCCCTCTGAGCAAAATGGTGGTGCCTGCTTCCCTAAGTGGGGAAATGCCAGTGTTTCCAAGAACTCGCACAGCAGGCTTTGAAGTCTGTGCAGCCAGTCTGAACTCGGCTGGTTTTACTCCCTGACTGATTGGTTTTTATTCCCCACTATCCCAGACAAGAGTCACAGATATATGCATCTTTTGCTGCTGTGGCTGATTTAACAGAGCCTCTTGAAACACTCCAAGGGTAATTAATGTTGTATATACATTGCAATCAGTTAATGTTGTATGTATAGGTTGTAGAGCATAATGGACAGGATGAAATATTTATCAGATCACAGAATCAGGAGCCAGGACGTCGCAGATTTTGCAGATGTTCTCTCAGACAAGCCATTTAAATCTGTATCTATTTTCTTCTCACAGCTAACGAGTGAACAAGGGAATATTACTTGGTCTCCTAAAAGTACTCTAAGGACAAACCAGTTAATATTCAGAAAGTGCTTTGGGATTCAATTATGTAGTAAGCATCATTAAATCTAGCCTAAAAAACCCTTTCCCAGGATAATCAGGACCTGGTTCTGATGTTAATGCCATGCTTTACACCACAGGAACACTTTATTATTCATTCCCATAATAGGCAGCGGATAGTTATCCCAGAAGATGATGTACTTACCAAGCAATACTGCTTTTTGCACTGTGTGAGACAGTTAGCCCTTTGGTCTATTTGCACTTTCATTCGCATGTCTAACACTCCACCGGTGGGAGGCTCATGTAATATTCATGATCCTCCCTCTCCTGTGAATTCCCAGCTGATCCATTAGCATTTGCTGCCTCGCTGAAAAAATATGGGGGGAAAAAAAAAAGCAACTGATGTAATCAACTACTTTCTAGTGTAGGCAAACATCCCTAGTGTTTGCACATCGCACAATACACAGATTAGCCATATGGAGGCTGTAAAGGGCTTTGGGCCTGAACTTTCAGAGCTGTTTATTTTTCCAGTTACTTCTTCCTGAATTAAAAATGGAGTCATCACAGTTTGGGGTGCAGGGAGGTACAGGCATTTTCTTAGCACTGGGCAGCCCAGATCTGTTTTCTTTGCCTTCAAAATACAAGAGCCACCTCCTGAAACTTTTAAGAGAAGAATGCCAATGCATCGTTCATTAAGGTGTCCAAAATGTAGACCACAAAACTAATTCCTCTGGCTTCTTGTCTCAACTGTATAAATCTAGGGATTGCTGGGGGGGGTGGTGGTGGCTACAAGAAAAAATTAAAACCTCATGGCATTTCGTTAGCCAAGCCTGCAATTGTTTTAGAAAAACAAATATTGCTACCAAAAAAAAAAGAGTAATTGTCCCGAGTGGAATGTACCCTGATTTTAATAACCATAATCAATATAACTGTTCTGTTTCAGCTTGAAGAAAACACTGAATGACATGAAGGAGAGCACCCAATGTTTTTCTTGAGCTAAACCAGAATGTTGATAGTTTAACTGTCCAGCTAATACACTGCAAACCAACTAGGTGCTTCCTGTACTGTCTCCGGTCCCAAAATAAAAAGCTCATCTCGAATCTTACTTCTCTGTTTAACAAGAATATAATTGGATAAAAGGCCTCGAGCAGGAAAGAGATAAAGTTCAAGTAGTTGATTATGCGATATGCAGTGCAAGTATTTGATTATGTGATTCATAGTAGTTTGGAAGCGGGTGACTCATTCACACACCAATATCCGACTGCTCTGCCCAAGGACCGCTCTCCGAGGCTGGCTGCGGGTTAGGCTCAAGGAGGGAATCTAATTAGCCTCTGCCATCTCTCCAGCATAACCTAGCAGAGTTTCACAGGAAAGGCTCTTCCTCTGGCTATTGTCCCCAGGGAAAACAGGCCAGTATTAGCAGTGGAATGGCACGAACCACTAAATACAAGGAAATAAATATAAACTGGAGCTGGGGCTGCTGTTATGTAATAAAACCAGTTCTGTGGCATTGCATCGGGCACTGTACCAGTGACACCACCTGCACAGCGACTCCCGGCGCTCAGGATGCAGTTAGGAGGCGTTACAGCTTTACCTACTCGTGGGAGGTAGCAAGCGATCAAATTTGGTGTTACGGTAAAGAAAAGACTGAGAAAAATAGGCCTGGCTAACCTGTGAGGAGAGCCATAAATTAAAGCAAGAACTGTGTCTCCAGTGCAATGGAAAACGGGTAGTTGAAATGGAGAATTGTGGTCCAAAAATTAATCTAGGCCCTATATTTTGAGCAATGTGCAGGATGAAAGGTGAATTAGTTGCTTTTTCCCCCACCACACACTTTCCACAACTGCAGCGAGCTTAAACTTGGCATGGGTCAGGGCTGAGCTCAGGGGGTGTGTGCGCCATATTTATAGAGCAGAACTTACTTGGGCAGAGTAATTTGAACATTTGTTCAACTTACTTGCATCATCTAAGATAAGGCTGGTTTAGCTAAGTAACAATATGGCTGAATTCTATGCTGTTATGCACCTGGACAAATGTCACCGAAATCAATGGAGTTTACTGGAATAATCTAATTTTAGTCTATTACACTTTGTACATAAAGCATATACGGCAATTAGCATATGTCCAGAAAGCATATCCAAAGCATCTTATTTATGGATCATTCTTTGAAGTATATTGTTTTCCTAAAAGTACTCAAGAGAAGAAAACTGCCAGTTAGGTGACTGAGAATGCACTGACCTTTCATTGGACGTAACCACGCCAGATGGGTTCTTCAGGTACTGTTTGAACCGCAGCTCAAAAGCCTGCCCTATGGTGTTTATCACCTCCTGGGCCATCCCATTGGGGCACTCCAGTATGTGGCATGCTGCAAAGAGACACCTTACTTGAAGTAAGTAAGTGCACTTTATACTAGAAAATAGAGACACAAGCTCTATTGCTTACAGCAGAAAAGCTAGGCATGAAATTATGCATCTAGACAGTTTTAGGACATTACACAGACTGAAATTTTTGACGCATTAAGGAAATTGCTCTAGGTATTTTTTAATCATAGTATCAACTTATACCTCAAGAAAAGAAACTCTCTGTTTATGCCTCCTGCATGGCGTGCTCCTGTATCTCCTTTTCTCTCCCTGCCTGGCAGTAAGCAGAAGCAGGGGAGAGAACCAGCCCTGCCAGTGTGCAGTTTTCATGTGAAACAGCATGAAAACACAAGTGCGGGTGGCTCCAGCAGCCTGGGGCAGGGCTCCCTCAGGGCAAGACCACGCTCCTGCCACCAGTCCTTGTTCTCATGCACCACCTCGGGAAACTCACTCCAGCAGCGAGTGCCGTGTGCCCAGGACTGGCTCTCCCCTCTGCAGAGCCACCATGAGATAGCACTTCACGGATGCGGCTGGGGCCGGCGCCCGCGGGCCCCGCCGCCAGCCCTGCCTGCAGGCTGCCAGGGTACCGGAGTTCTGCACATCCCAGCATCAAAACCGGGACTTCGTGCTGAACCTGCACGGTGCCCTAAGGTAGCCAAAAACAGCAGTGCCGGTGATATGCAAGGTGGTGGAGCTACAGAGAGGCGGCAGGCCAGACTGGTAAGGCTGCAGTCCAGCTTCTCCAGATTTTCATCCTGATTTTCTGAGCCATCCACAGCACCTCAGAGTGAGCTCTCCTGTGAGTTGCCACTCTACCAACTTTATAGCCATTGGCAGTGTTCTCCGAGAACCATCTGGCATGAAAGCAGCAGCCAAGGGCCAGTCTTTCTTCTATCGCAGGCAAGTAACGAGAGCAATGCAAAAGGGAATTTATCCCCTAGGTCAGCCTCTAGAGGGAAGAAGGTCTCATACAGCTGAGTATATACCCCACTCTGCCTTCCAGCAACATACCCAGGAGTCTGGGTTAGATGAGGAGGCTCATTCACTACCTTTCCCCTCACCTGGAAGTTGTCCCAGAGGAGGGCAGCCACCCACCTTTCCCAGCTCTGCCCTTCCTCCCCAGGCAACGCCGGCTTGGGAAGGCTCCTACCCCTGCATGGAGCCAGCAGCTAGTACAGCTCTACTCTGACCTGCAGATTCTCACTTCGTTGCACAAAGAATATGATGTTTAAAGTCACAGCCTGCATACCATCACCCATATCCATACAGGGAAAACAGAAATAATATACAGAATATTGAGTTGTTACATAGCTTTCTTATTTTAAAACTCAAACAATTCCTTGGTACAGATAAAGCAATCATATAAACATGTATAACAATCTGAAAATTATCTCCATACCTCTCTGGTTAACAGGATCTTTTGCTACATATGCAACATAGTCTGTTGTATCCTATAGGAAAGAAGATGACAAATGTCTTTAAAATTATCATTAAGAACAACCCTACCACCACAACAAAGCAGCTGAGTATAGATATCTATTTTTAGCTTTAAAAAGCGCACTTCTTTCAAGGAAAACAACCAGAGGTGCTAGCAAAGTGGACTAAGGGAAAGATCAGGGACACACGCGTGGCTATCGACACAGCAATTGTGCTGGAACCTTTTCCTTGTCATAAACGCACTAGACCATTTGGCATTCTTGGGTCTTCAACAAACTGTGTTTTCAATTCCAAACTATGCAACAGGAGTAGAAACACAACTGGTGCCTCGTCAGCAGGCAATGCTGCTCTCTTCCGCTGCTCCCACAGAGCTTGAAGCCTCCCCTGCGTAACACATTAGAGCTGCGTGAATGCCAGTCACAGCTCTTAGCTGGGGCAGTCCTTATCAGTATCGGTGGAAGATAAAACAGTGCTAATATACTGCAAAGGACAAGTTAGAATATTCCCAATTTGTAGTACGAATATTGAGTTTTGAAGGCATCTTGGAGAAAAGTTGATCTTTAAAATATCACAGAATACAATAGGTATCTGATCTCAATTGCTGCTGCCTGATTTTAGTCTGGTGACGATCAGGTTAAATTACTCTGGACCTCAAGGCTGCTGCTGAGACCAGACAACCTCAGTATAATCAGTTGTCTGTTTCAGATTCCCTTTCCAGTTAACACTGAAATAATCCTCACTTTTTTAGTGAAACTGAAAAGGGAACTGGAATAGAAAAATTAATATTTCTAGTCATACTGCAAAAGCAAAGAGTCACTTGATAATTCAGTGTTATAGTAAAAATGGTGAGGTAATGAATAACATTCTTTTAATTATTAAAGATGCATTTTGTTATTTTGGCTCTTTAAGGCGGGATGGGGAAAATGCAATTCACAAAGGCATGGCTCTCTTGAGGGAAGATGCAATCAGCTGGCAGGAAACGAGGCCCCCATTTGCAATATGCACAGGAGCAATCATTTAATAATTCACAGTCAATGACACGAGAGGCAGGTCTTAAGGCCAGCAGAACTTGTCCTAGATAATTTTTTTTTTAAATCTCCAAAGTTAATATCATTAAAACAAAGCAAGCTAAATATTTCTTGTGCATTTAGTGAACTCTGTTTCCTCCCTTTTCCTTTCAGGTTTTTGTTAAATTTCATAAATATTTTAGGATACACTTTTAAAATAAATTAGATCTAGAGAGCAACTAGAAACTAAAGTAACTGGAGCAGTACCTGCTGTTTTTATATCTTTGTAAAGTTTAAGTACATACGTGGATGACTCTGCTTTAAAATAAAGCCAGAATAGGCTTTATTCTTGGGTAGGATATTGCTACTTCTTAACAGTGCAGAGCAACACTGAACTGCATTTAGACCCTGAATATGGGGGCAAGTGGCGAGACATGTCCTGTGGAAACTATCTCCCATTTTAAATGTAAAGGGAATTTTGGAAAAATTACCTGAACAGGCCACCAGAATTGCCCCTTATGTGAAGTGCCACTAGATTTGTAGTTACCACCGCTGAGCAAGACCTCCATTTTACATATTCTCCCATAAGAAAAGTGTCACCAGCTGCACCACCAAGCCCATTTCCCGCAGCGCATCTGTGTGCAATCGCATCTCTTGGTGGCCCTGCCACTAAGCACTGACCAAACCCAGCCCTGTGTAGCCTGTGAGATCTGATGGGATCGCTGTACAAGACCAATGCAGTAAAATAATATTTAAAACAAACAAACAAACAAAACCTAGAAAAGGTAAACAAGCCCTGGAGCAGAGATCTGAAAATACATCCTTGAATTTTCAAAACTGGAAATGTTACATGAAGACAAACTAGACAGCCAGCATCTAACACATGGTGCATACTTGAAAAACAAATCAGCTTGAGATATATTTAAATCATTTAACTATCAAGAAAACTGGAATTTGGAAATGAAACTTTGTGATGCTCAGCACAAGAGCACACCAGCTCTTGGAGCTGCCTGGAAATCCACATCAGGAAAGGTCTGCAAAGCCCAGGGACTGTATTATACAGGGTGGTGTATTAGCATAGCACAGGCACCTGAAGGTGAAATTTAGACTTCTTGGAGTCTCAGAATGCCTTAATCATTAAATGGGATCTGTAAGGATGTCGTACTTTGGCACCAGGCCCGTGCAGCCCCTCCCTCCTGGGTGCAGGAGCAACAGCGCAGAGCCCGCACACGTGCTCCCTCCCCGCCTCCCAGCCCAGCTCCAGAAAGCTCCTGTTCTCAGGCACCTCGGGCAGCATCTCTGAGCAGAGCAGAGCAGCTGGGCTTCTTACACCACCCACATGGCCCTCCAGAGAAGATCAGTCAGCCACATAGGGACGGTTCCCAGCTATTTCCCCTTGCCTGCTCCTAAATCCAAAGAGGCAGATCTGTCATTTTCCAGTCAAAGCTGGATCCGGCTTCCACCCTAGTGTTATCAAGAGCATGACCCAGAGCCTTCTGTTTTCCCGGTTTCATAACACGCAAACAGGAAGACGTTTAACAAAATTGAAGGGCAGAAAATTCAAAACTGATTAAAAAAAAAAATACTGTTTTCATAACACATGGAGTGTGAAATTCATAACGCTGGCAGGGCTGGGCCGGCTTAGATTCGAAGAGGGAATAGGGGATGTTTATGGATGACAAATTCCCTGCTGACAATCATTGCAATAAAGAGTTTGGAAGAGGATAGAAAACCTCTTGCATGACAACATCAGTGAGTTCATGACTATGATGCTAGGAGAAAAACCCATACCTGCAGGAAAAAGAAGGTTATGCCATGTCTGTCTTACAGGAGCTTTGCTCGATTCAAGATTCATCTAAAATTTAGAGGTGCTGGTGCTGACTGCTTTTGTGACAGGTACTGGATTACAGGGACCACAGAACTGATGCAATTCCTATGTTCTTGTGTTCTTATTTTTAGGTCGCCAAGTCTGGGGGCTTTTGAGTGAACTGAGGCTCACTGATGCAGAACGGGAAAGGTAACTATACAGATCTATCAAAGATCCACTGAGGCTCTATTCCAAGTCTCCTTTCCAGTCTCAGTCCCTGAGTTTTCTTGTATTACTGGTCGTGATCCAGAATTGCGGTGTACTCTATTAGTGCTTGTGGATAGGAAGTGATGAAGCAAAGTATTTGCAGATACTTTTATTCTCATAATAATTTCATTATACCTGCGGAAGTATATCTTATAAATCAATACTTACTGGGTCACCTCCTGAAGCAAATGAGATGGACTGCATGTGATGGTTGGCAATAATCTGAAAAGCATGACAAACTGGTTAAACGTGCTCATGTGGCACACATTTAGAAAAAAGCACAGCGTGTATCTTCATAGAGCAAGCAATTAAGTTCATGACAACCCAATCCATTAATACATACACATATCATTTGTAAAGGAAGGAGCTAACAACAGGAGTATTTTTGAGACTACCCATTCATGTTTAATAATGTCTAGATCCCTGATTAATCTTCCTTAAAGGGTTTTCGGAATGAATTCAACCACTAACTTCTAACTGGTCAGTATGAAGCTAAATGCAACTTTGAAAGGGGAATAACTGGAGACACTGGATGCATTTACAAAGTCTTGAGAAATTAATTAATTTTAATTTATTTAAATGCATGGTGTATACAATGGTAGCATTTTTATGAACAGACCCTACCAATACTCTGATCATATTCTCTCTTACCACTAGCACCGAACCGTTACCTAGTAGAGATTTCACTAGCCAAATCAAGCATCAGCTTTTCATGGTTTCAAACACTACCTCATCTCTGGAGACAAACTGTTCTTTATTATAAAATCAAGTGCAATAGATTATGCAGGTGGGAACACAATGAAACATGGCGGCAGCACAAGAATAGAATAAATAGGATTTTCCATTTGCAAAGGTCTAGTAACAAAAGACCTAGAAAGAGTTTCCAGACGGTGCCCTGGATGCCCGTGTGTGCAGTAACAGGGCACATCAGTGCTTTTGGAAGCAGATCTGTCCAGCTGGCTTTTAATCCTGTTACAAACAGGAACAGGTTAAAAGTGCCATACTTTAGCTGCCAGCCCCCAGAGTTTCACCCAGTGTAGAGAAGCCCTTTGCTGCCATACCTGAAAGGAAGGGAAACCTGGTGCACCTGCCCATTTCTAGCACAGGGGTCCAAGGGAAAGGAGACCTCTGTGCTCTGGTGAAACCCCAAGAGCTGCCCAACACTCAGCACGGCATCAGCTCAGTGCAATGATTCCTCAGAGCCAGTGAGCCAAAACTACCTCCCTGATGTTCCCCTGCTCCAGCTTGGAGCGAAACCTGCTGCTGGCCCTGGGCGCGATCGTGCTGGGAGATGAAGCCAACAGCTGACAGAGGAATTAGGTGGGCAGCACAAAGCTCCTCATCACATCTGCCAAGAAGGGAGCACACCTCGGTTCCAGGGCAGATCCAGGCTCTCGGGAACACGTCTCAATGGAGCCCAGAGACTTTGCATAGTATGACTGATTATGCGCATATATTTCCCAGCTGTAAAATAGCTTTGAACAGCACCAAAGCCAAGCTCTGACTCACTATTTATATCAATTTTTTTTCCCCTAGGACTTGTCAGAAACTCCAATCAGGACTAGTGCCTTGTTTATTAGGCAATGTACAGACAGAGACACACACAGAGAAAGAGTTTGCCAAGTGCTTGAAGATCCCTCCCTGTGGAAGACACCACCATAAACAAGAAGGTCATGTGCTGCAGGTCCAATTCCTCCAAAGTGCTCTCATTTTTAAATTCAGAGGCATCATGTAATTCAGCTTTACCAGGCATGCACAAGAAGACTAAAGGCTGCTGCTTTCCCTTCGAAGAGCCCAGCCTTTCTTTCAGAGGCCACGAAAGGAGGACAATGCAGTAGCACAGAGAAAAGGACACGGATTTATATGTATCCTACCTGCTGCGTGTCAACACTAATCAAAGTGAGACTGCTTGTTGAAATGGTCAGTTTTATATTCACGCCAGAAAACTGAAGGTTACTTTTGCCAAGTATAGAAGACAGAAACTTCACTGGAGGCTTTGAACAAAGAAACAGAAGAAAGAGGCTGTCAGCTGAGTCTGTCGGGGCAGAAACATATCAAAGTCAAGTAGATTTTACGATATCTTATTGAGAATTTCAGTGGAGCAAGGATAATGGCTTGATCAAATGCAAACAGATCTTCTAACAAATATCAGCTTTGAATACAATGCTTACAGGCATGGGTTGTAAGTCAATAATGGGAAAAAAGTTTTAAAGCAAAATCCCAGTGAGCTAAATGTTATAGCTGGCTCAGTAATTCAGTACATGTAATTTTCCTGC